ATTTAGACACTGTAATAAAGTTAGTGTACATAGCCCCAAACTAAACTTAGCAAGAATTTAGGTAACCTTTAATATACATACAAATAATGTACTATACATGTTTACTATAAACATCAGTTCCGTGTATAAGTTTTTGCTCTTGTCACACTAAAACCCTCAGAGATTTGAACTCGCAAGTTGCTACCACAACTATTCGACAAAGGTTTGAAATATGTAGGTATAATGATAGCTGTTACATATATTTTGTGTATATCCAATATACCTTAATAGGTACCTATTTAAGTCAAGATCAGGGTCAGCATGTACTGAAAATTAGCACCTTATTGTAAAACCAGTAATCATTTTCATGTTTTGTATGGCACCTAAAATATTACAAAATATTGCTATGTGACGTAACACCTGGAACTAAAAGAGGTATTAGGTATACGGCATATTGTTGGCACAATGACAACAATACGGAAAATTAGTTTTTTATTCATTCCATTTTACTAATTGATGTTAAGCACATTTAACTGTTGTAACTCACCATATTCATTAAGTAGATGGTTTAAATAATTAGATATTATCAAATAATTATATTTTTTATCATAATACTATACTCGTTTATAAACTACCAAAGAAAAGACTGTATAATGAAAGAAAACACATAAACACAGAAGCCAAAAATATAAAAACACACCCATTGAAAATACGTGTATTTTTAAATCGATCCAAGACCTGGTGGAAAGTGAGGCGGCCACCTGAATACAAATTTTATAACATTGATTCACGACAACCGTTCTCCCAATCCAATCGGAAAGTTTCCTGCGGGGATAACCCTTGGATTTAATCCATTGGTAATACGAAAATTGATGTAAAAGGTTTTGCCGCGCGTCCACCACGTGACGTGGTCCATACAAAGTGTACTGGGAAATTTTCAGATTTTCTTCAAGAATCACTGCGGTGACACGTCTTGTGCCAAAATGTAACGTGTTACGGACCGAAAAGGTTTGGATTCAATCGGTTTACGGTGTTATTGGGGGCAATTCCGCTCAGAAAGAACTATGGCACGTGCTCAGAGTTTAGAGTCGAGGGTGTCTAAAAAGTCGGGGATTTTCATGGACAGGTTATTTACCTTTTTTATGGAAGTTTGGCCATTGAACTCAGAATGCGTATTTTCCGACGAAAATGGTTTTCACTTGTAAAGTTTGGAGCTGAAGTGAATTCGGGCGAAATTGCTAAGCCAGGTATATACGAGCGACCAGTTAATGAAGTATTACAATACGTGTTCACAAATCGTTAACGTTGCAGGAGTTTGCAATAGCAACACCATCATGGTAGACCATGATCATGGTACCTCAGGCACTGATTGAGTTAAGTACTCAGTTATCAGTATTGAGGTATAAGAGTGCCACAGAAGGTTGTTTTTAAGACCTCAATAATTGCTCTGTCATGTTATATTATGTCAATGTCACCCCTCCCGTGCCGTTCCCATACTTCAAGCTTGACTGAGTTAAGCGAAAACCTATAACTAAATAGCAAAAATTGCGAAAAAGACAAAAACACCTGTTACAAAGATATTTTTCGTTTGCGCATACTACTTTACCCTTTTATTTACATTTAGTTTAAATACTTTGCAGTTGCATTTCTTTGTAATAATTAAGTGCTCTTAGTCATAATTTTTTTGACCTTGTCCTGCACCAAAGTCGAAGACGCGTTAAAACAATATTATCATTTCAGTACAAGATAACGAAGTTTATTTTCAGTGAGTAGTAAATAATGACGCAGCGTATTGTTTGTTCAGATGATCAACTACCTACATACTAATAAAATGTTTGATTACTGACTCACGAGCTACCTTTAAAGAACGGTTTAAACTACAAAACTAAATATAATGACACCGTGGTTGGTATTAAAGCGGATTTTATTTTTATTTTATTCTGAAAATGTGTGATGTTGGTAATCTAATTATTATTATACAAAAACCATTAATCTAAATTAATTGGTCGCATCGTAAAAAAAACACGATATTTTCGTTGCATCACTAAGCTCAATTAATATTGGTGTAATTAACTCATACTTACTCATTACATATTTCCGCACACAAACCAATATCTTTATAGCTTGTAAAATAATTTGAGTCTTTAATAGTGTCTGCTAAGATAACAATGACTTAGGATACTTGAACACACGCTACTTTCAGCACTTGCAATTTTCCAAATCAAATTCAACTATTTATTTGTAAAGCGAAACTTTTGGCCTGCACTTGCTACTACGGCATACCAATATTAGTGAATAAATGACCACAGGACAGACAGATGACTTTAAAAGTTGCAAGAAGGCACTGGATATAGATATCTTTCAACCGCCCAATTTGTAAATCATTTGGAGAGACGATGTTCAGCAGAGAACCACCTGTAGCTGGAATAAGATGACGATCCTATGACATTTTTACACTTCAACACCTACATCCAAAGTAAGTAATGAGTATGTACTATACTTTGAAAACTTTTTTCAATTCTTATGTAATGATAATGTAATGAAGAGATCACGAAATCGTATTAGTGATAATTATTTAATGACATTAATGATAGAGACAGGAACTAATACAAAAACTACACTACACTAATCGCAAATTCTGAAATGTAGCAAGTCTGCTAGAGCCCTTAGAGTTACGTAAGAAGCTAATACCCGTATTTTATGATAATCTCGTGAACAACGATGACATGACTCGCTAAACACCAGATAAGGTGGTTTAGTGGTTACATTGAGGTTTTAAACCTATGCAACAGGTTCACGTTATTTTCAACAGAATTATTTATTACCTACAACTAGTTGACCCAGCGAACTTAGTACCGCCCTTTTTGAAAATATTGTATAGACTATATTCATCGGGATTAAGGTAGGGTTGTGGTGAAAGAATTCTTCAAATCGGTTCAGTAATTTCGGAGCCTATTCAACACAAACAAGCAATCAAATCTTTCCTCTTTATAATATTGATTAACTATAGATTAACTATTTACAGGTTAATTTCTAACTGGTAAAATGTTCTGAGCAAATAAACCACCGGTTTCCAAGCAAGCGAAACGTCGTGGGTTCGATTGCCACCTGGGGCTCAAGTTTCAAGTCTATCAAAACCAAGAAGTACCTACGTAGTAATGTAGTCGAAAATCGTAAAAGCAATATCTCATCAAGTAATTTTACAACGGCCTTACCTAGATCACTGTCACAGTAATGAACACGTTAACTATCTGTCTGTCTTCTTCCATTGCCTTAGAATCAACACCTTCTCAGATGTCTTACCCTCACCTTCATAGAGTTACATCTAAATCTATAAAATAAATCGATAAAATTGCCGTATCAGTTTGCTAATTACAATTTGTTTGCGTGGGAATTGCATTTTTTCAACTTCCTTTGAGTTTGTAAACCAAATAATCGAAACTTTTTGCTCAGTGCTTGATTATTATGAAGACTTTTTGTTCAGTGCTTGACATATAATTTTTTAAAACAATCATACGTATCGTGGTTTACAGCCCCCCTAGACAAAACGCACTTTTTGATCGAATCGAAAATCGAATCCGTCAAAACTCCATACAAAAAAAGGGCTTTTCGACCATTTTTCGACTGGTTTGCGATTATAATTTGCACTTTGTCTAGACCCACAGAACTTCTTCTAAGGGCCGATTTTTCTATCGTCAGATAACTTTTAACTGAAGAATAAACTTGTCATTTTGACATATTTTCTATACTGAAACTGTCAATGTGCCAAACTTATTCTGCAGTTAAAATTTATCCGACGATTGAAAAATCAGCCCTAAAAATATTATAGAACTGATTAATTGTGTTGTTGTTAATTTAAAATGCGTATTTAACTCATTACTATAGGTACGCCACTTTTCACTAGAAAGTGCAGCATTACCTAGAATACCAATTAAACATTGTGTAACCAACGTTTGCATACAATATCGCAACAAAAAAACCAAACTGCGGGAGTAGATTAGACTAAGTTTCTAAAAATCGTTGCACCCGCTAATTTGAAAAGTAAAGACCCTTCAGATGGTCAGATGCAGTGACCATAACGTGATAATTGTGTAGTGTTTTTATTTTTACTCGAACGCTCATTTCCATAACCGAGTTGCGCCGCACGCGGTCTAGCGTGGCGCACTCCGGCGCACTAGTGTTGGGACGTGTCGATAAGTTCACTTCCGTTGTGTTAATTAAGTAATTTATTGAAATCAATTAATTGGACAATAAGGAAGTGTTGGATAACAACAATTGAAATTTTGATAAAAATACTTTTATTATTTCTTTAAAATAAAATAACTAGGGTGGTTTCGTGGAATTTTGCAATTAGATTTCTGAACAGCATTGAAATTGATATTTTATAAATAAAATTTCGTAAGACAAAACAGAACGTAATAAATTCATTTTAAGGAAAAATACTGTATTATCTCGGAAAATTAAATCATTTTTTAAAAGTAATAATAGTAAACTGACAATGCTTTTCAGCATACTTTACCACTGCAAAACTATTTTTCCAGTAGGAACTGCCAACAAACTACATTGAACGAAGGCCAGGGTTCATGCTTAATGCAATAATGTCACTCCGGTCGCCTGTTGATGCTCGTAAGGTTTCTCAGGTCATACAATCGCTTAGTTACGCAGTATTAACAACATATTCGTTTCGTGAACCATTATTTTGTTTTACTAATCATTGCAATTAAAACGTGATAATGATGTAATTAGTGATATAAATCCGCCAATGATATATTTTGTAAAGTATAATAAATCTTCCAAATTACATAATAGTTTTTCGTACCATTAAAATAATTGAACGACATTGAAATATTTCTTCCTGTTATTTAAATAACAAAAAATTTAAGTACCATTTTAAACTACCAAAATTTTAAAAAACTATTTAGCTTATAATTGGACCCAAAAGCTAATTATTGACTAACATTCATTAATCCAACGTAATAAATCCGTACGATGACCGTGCGCATCCCTAGCGGTAGCCTTCTAGCGTTCAGTGTTAAGTGCAGTGCGCACGAGTCGCGCGCTTACGTTGCTCCCGCGAGTTATATGGCAGCGGCCAGGCCGTACGGCCTACGGTGCGCCACTAGCCGTAGCAGATGTACCAACCAGGGCTGGGTAATGTGGTTTCAGTGTTTGTGGAAAATAAGCCTTAAATAGTCTGTGTTTGTGGCGGTTATTGAGTGAGCAGATCCGATTTGGTAGGATTTTGTTTTTAAATAGGGTTGAATTGAGAACGTTGTGGATAAAGTAATACTTTCAAATTCAAATTCAGTGATTATTATTGTACTTTTATGTCTGCAGGTCAGTATATGAGGTACACATACATTAAGACAGCTTGATATGTAATAAAACGTTCATTCCGTAGAATGTGGTATCATAGATTGTTCATTGTATGACTCGCATAACACATAATTTATATGTTACTGTAAAAGCTCGAATTGCAGTAAATCCTAAGATATTCCAGTAAAACCTAAGATCTACCAATTCCTAATGGTAAATGTCCCAAAAGGTTTGCGATTCGAACTCTTACAACCATTTCGTTGGTAAATCTTAGGATTTACATTAATGGCACGGTAAATGTTGAAAAACAAAACATGTCATAACGTTCTCAGGGCATCTCATCATCATCATCATCATCAGAAATTACTTCAATTGGAAAAAATCGAATCTATCTTAATATTGAAGTTGCCCTCTTTGTATTTCTAGTCGCTCATTTAGTAGGTAGTCGCACGGACAGTATTTTAATATCTAAAATGGATTAAACATAACCCACTCTTTGTAAGCTCGTTCTGCATTTGATTTATTAATCAATATTCGTCGTTAGTTAAGTTAATTTTTCGGTTATTCAAATTCATACCGCTCAAGTTATTAAAACAGTACGCCATCATCAGTCGCTAAGTTATTTTTAGTCGATCGTTTTATAATTCCCCATTAAGAATTACTCATTGTTTTTTTCTTAAAACCAACATCTACCTGCTGACAGAGGTAAAGCCTAGCATATACTGAATTCGAATGGTAAAAGCTCGAAAAAATCGTCGTATTTTCAGAAATACTTACATTTACCAACTCATGTCGGTAAATCCTAAGACTTACACTTAAATCTTAAGATTAACCGTAGTTCGAGCTTTTACAGTAACATATACATTTCATTTCTTTATTTAAAATTAGCAAAATGTAGATACACCACTTCTATTTGATAATAATAACATTCTAACTCTTCTAATCTTCTAATTATAATAAAATTAATTAAATATCCATTAGGCATCATTGCAAACCGTTTCAATTAAGTATTAACTATAATAGAAGTGTAGTAATCAGCATATAACCTTGCTATCCACAAGATAATAGCGGCATAGAGCACTGAAAGTATTTACAAGTTAATTTAATTAACACAGAGACGATACAAAATGAAAGTAAAAACTAACGCCGACCGTGATATGGTTTTCTCGAATATTTTGCTGTCTTGTTTGTTCCGCTGTTAGTTTATTTCTAAGTTAGTTTATAGCTATGGACTGGAATTTCGTAGCCTGCTGCTGTCTTTCCTGAACTCTATAATCCGGGCCTTTTCAAGGCGAGAGTGAATAGGCACTTACAGGGGCAGATATGTACCATCCTAGACTGCATCTCACTTAACATGTGTGATTGTGGTCCAATACCTGCCTTATTCCGCATATAAAAAGATTAAGTTTGAGTAAAAAAAAAGTCTATGGAAAATATTATGTCTATGGATGGACGCTTCTTCTTCGTGTCAATGGTAGCGTGTGATGTAACGTATAATTGTTTCCTGCGACTTTGCGTGCTGCTTTAAAGATTATGGGATTGAGGGGCATCGGATTTTCATAACCATCAACGTAGTTAAGTTTCCACCTAAGCTGTCAGGGTAGACTGGAGATGATATAAAAACAATATTGATTAAGATATCGCATTATATCGGCATTTTGTTCGCCTATGAACCATAAAATTGAATATCAGGGCCTTTTCAAGGCGAGAGTGAAAAGGCACTTACAGGGCAGATATGTACCATCCTAGACTGCATCTCAACACCAGGTGCGATTGTGGTCAAATAACTGCCTTCTCATACGTAAAAAAATCCTCTAACACTAACAGTGTTTTTAAGGTGAGATTGAATACGCACTTACAGGACACGTATGTACGTATTCATTCAAAACTGCACCTGTGATTGCGGTCAAATATAAAAAAAGTTCAATGTCACACTTAAATTCGCACAATATCAGTTAGAATTTTGATCTCATTATTTGCTAAAAATATTACCATACCATTCAAGAATCCCCATTTCTTTCTACTTTCTGGTCTAATGCCCCATTAAATTATGGTTGAATAAATTTAACATCATGACGTCACTGACCCATGGAATAAGCTGAGGGTCCCGGCTTTATAAGTGTCTCTACAGGAAGTGTTCTGTGTCTATCTCTATATCTTGCCTCCTAGTTTTAATCACGGACAAGAACAATCGCTTAAAGAAAAAAAAACCGGTCAAGTGCGATTAGAACTTGCGCGGTAAGGGTTCCGTAACATTATCTATACAACATTTGACATAATATCGTGCAAAAAACGGAAAAAAGTCACGTTTGTTGCATGGGAGTCCCTCTTAAATATTTTTTTCTGTTTTAAGTAGGTATTATTATTTTTAGTGTTTTTTGTTGCAACAGGTTGTTACTTGACTTAAGATCCTATGTCCCCTAGATGAGGCAGGAAGAGGCGTCCACAAAAGTCCTCTATCGCGTTCGGTCTTGAGCTTCGCGTTTGATCTCACTCCAGGTCTTGCCGATTTTCTTCGCCTCGTCTGCTACAGTGCGCCGCCAAGTTTGCCTGGGGCGACCACGTTTGAACAGGCTCATGAGTCACGGTTCATGAGATTTAGCCTGGTTACAGATAAACAGCGGAGTCTCAGTAATACAAGTAGGGTCCCGTTTTTACCCTTTGGGTATGGAACCTTAAAAATGTATCTACTTCCTACAACTCTTAAAACATTCTTCCTTAATGGCCATTAGACAATAATGATACACTTAAGACATAACAAGGTTCGTTTCCGACCTTCAATTGACAATAAACACCATTTCGCACTATCGTTATTTATCGGTTGTACAGCGTTAAGTCACATGGTAGTTGAATAACGGTCGGTTTACTTGGATGATATCATTTTATTTCCTTCTATTCCTTATTGACTTAACAATGCATCTTTATTTTGAAATGAATTCTTTTTTTTTGTCGTTAATTATATGAAATCTAGGTGCGTTATAAAACCTTCAATAAAATAATGATCAATGAACTTTGTAACTAGCGGCCGCCTGCGACTTCGTACCCGTGGGGGGTCCACGGTTTTAACTTCTTAGGGGTGGAGTTTCGTTAAATTCTTAGCGGATGTCTATACCCTATCTATAAGGATCCTACCTGCCTTTCAATACCAAGGTGTTATAGTTTCTAAGATTTCGTATTAATCAGTGAGTGGTATATTTTCGCTTTACCTATACACATAAAACATCGGATTTTCACTAAAGTAATCTTTAATTAAATAGCTATTTTTTATATCTTCTTAACCTTGATACTTCATTTACTTATTTTTTACGCAAGCAATTAGTCCTTCGATTAGAAAACAGATTATCATAATAAAAAACTTTAAATTCGCAAAATTAATTACAAACACGATTAATAAAAGTTTCAAAAATAATAAATTACTTTTTAAGTGAAATGTCGTGTTCGAGGTATAAGTATTACTCGAAAGAATGAAACCTTATTTACTTAAATAATTAATTAACGTGCATAATGAAAATTATCAGTCTTGATCCGTTTAAAACCTTGAAAACGCAAAGACAATATTATGGTAATGTGTCATGGTTGTCATTCTTACACGACTAAACAAGGAAAAATCTACTTCTGGTGCAAATTCATTGAATATACCTACCTAGTTGTTGTTTTAGAATTTAAATGAATCCGATCTTGAGTGATCTTTTTTCCTACACGTGTAGAGGTAAATTAGATTTAAATTCTAAAAGTTCTGGGTAACGTTAATAGGGTCGGGTTTCTAATGAAAATATTGATTGTTGCTAAAGGGCGTTTGCTCTAACAGATTCTATTACTTATTATTACGTATACTCGTATATTTTAAAGAAAAGTCATGTAAGATAAATTCTTGCTTATTACTCTACAATTTAAGAAAAACTAATAACTATAAATTAATTATCAGTATTTGTTATAATACTCTTTAATATTAGCCCATACTAAAGATCTTGTTGGATCTTTCACGTTCAAATATTTGTATTAAACAACGAACCAACTTATTACTCTCAATAAGTCCAAACCATAAAATAAGAAAGCCAAAGTGATTAAAAGTATAATTAGCATAAACAAAATATAAGAAAAGCCCATCCAATGTTTTTAAAGTAGTTCGCAGAAATAATTAAGTGGCAACATTAATACAGCAACTTCGGCTGTGTTGCCAGCTCCCGGAAAACGCGGACTTGCTTGTTATTTATGTTGAATAACCCCGGCTCTCAGACAGTTCTCTAGAATTTCCTGAGAAAGTAAATAATGCTTCAGGAATTTGGCGAATATTTTTAAAAGAAGATGCAACAATGGCATTATCATATTTTTATAATTATTCTCCTTATTAAGGCTGGAGGCTGAAAGCTAAAGGCAGTAAAGGCAGTATTATTTTCGATGGACGTTTTCAGTCAAATGAGTACGTACTTACCTAGATACATTCTTCAACCCTGAATCCATCAGAGGCTAGCTTAAATTGACTAAGATAACTGTTCCTACTGATGTTAGCCAAGACCTATAGCTTGACCACCGATGAAAACCTAACCAATAATTTGACCATTAAAGGCTAAATTTTCCGTAAGAAAAGCCAAACTCTCATGGGACCAGGAAAAAATGTATATAAAAAATCTAATGATATTATGAGGAATTTGATGCTATGGATCGTATGGTATAAAGTAGACGGCAAAAAGATAAAACTTTTTGAAATAGAGTCATCTATAATAGGTCTATTCAAAAACTAGTAACAAGTGAAATTATTAATCATCGCAAAATGACAACGAAAGTAATTAGACAACTAATCACCACTTATAAATAAATAAATAAATAAATAAATA